ACTCTTACTTTTACTTTTACTATTTCTTTATAGAACATTTTTCTTTTGTAAAAAAAATCTTATTCATTACTTTCATTATCTGCACTGGTTGGTTCCTGTTACTACAATTTTGGTTGGTCTTTGTCGAATACATGAAGTGGAAATATAAAAAAAATCACACCGCTTGATTGAAAATATTTATATATACCATATATAATATGAAATAAGAGATATTTACTTGTTATAATATATATTACGTTACAAACAACCATCTAGAGTTATTAAATTAACTTTAGGTCACCTTTCAATTGTCACCTTTCAATTATGGTATCTCCTCTTTAATGGTATATTATTGTATTAAAACTGTGTCAACAATAATCGAAATATTTGTATTTCTCTGGTATAAGCTCCCATTAGAAAATTTGTTTGATAACTTCAACAGAACCAAAACGGCTACCCAATAGCGAAAACTTTAGTTTTGAGAATAATAAAATTTCATTTCATTTTACAAATTTTTCTTATATCCAGAATTTGTTTTCACCAAAACGATATTTAATATGTTAATATAATACACATTAGTGAGTCCATTCCTTTAAAAAGAACGCTTGATATACGAAATCACGAATGTCAAAAAAAAACTTAAAGTATACCATCGTTTTTGAGTGACTTTGATATAACTTCATTCGGTTACAATTCTTTTAATCCATTTAGATGACTGTTGACAAAATTACATATCAATCCCATAAACCAATATCTCTCCAGTAATTATGATACTAAGTCATAAATCTCCGATTTTCTTTAAAAAGAACCAATCTATGCCGATGTTGTGACTCTATACATCAATTAACCCTTTTAACCACCGCAATAAACAGTAGATCAAAAAGTAACAACCTTGTCTCGCTCGACTACATATTCTAAATGATTCGCTACTAATTATAATTTTAATTAGTTTGACTAATATACTTCTAAATTATATATAAATTTAGATATAATAGCGAATTATATACAAGTCATTAGAGCAGTCGTCAAAATTCCAGTTCCAATTCCGAGACATTCTAACGTTATTCACGGGTGACTGATTTTATGTGACGGGTGCAACCTAAATTAAAAATCCTGGGGATTGAACTCGCTGTACGCACTTATATTAGTTCATTACTCAGCGGGTGCCAGATAACTATCCAGGGGTGTCAAGTGAAAGCTGTGCGGCCACTTCGATTGAGGAAGACGTTAAAATTTTTCATGTTAAATGCAATCAGATATATTGCTTTGTATAGTCGCCCTCCGAATCGAGTACACAAGGCAACGTGTCTTCTTCGTAAAATCTTTGGTCCTCTACGAGTTGGCCACAACTACCGCCTCTGTATGAACTACAAGCTGTACAAATTTTATCATGACATTGATATAATTTAGCGAATTAACATCCAGCGACATCACTGGTCATGTCGTGAGAATGAATGATGATGCTCCACCGAAAAGAATATTTAAAACAGTAGTTGGTGGAAGAAGGTGTAGAGGTGGACCGTATCTCCAGTGGAGATAACCCGATTTGATGTACGAGACTGGAGAAGCTGCACAAGCAGCAGAACCGTCTGGAGGAATATGCTGCGTCAGACCAAATTCCGGTAACTTACTTAAATAAGTAAGTAAGTAAGATTGTTGTAGTCAAATACCTGCTTAAATTCTAGAAATAGTTGCGATTTCATATTATTTTTTTTAAATTTTTATTGATATCTATTTCAAATGGCTTTGTTGAAATACACAAAAAAGCTATCTCTTAGTGTTGCTTTACTCAACTTAAACGATTTAATCGTTAAATATATTTCAGCGCTGCTAAGAGTACAACAATCATTATCCCTATTGGGATTTCAACTTCTGACTCTAACAATTTCTGCTATACTTTTGTCATGTATTATATTTATAATGTTTTGAAAATTCTACTTGTTTCATAACATCAGTTATTAAAGTACCGTCATTTTTGAAAATCTCTTTTTGAGCTTAAGTCCTTTGTTATCTTGTATCATCCTCTCAAACCTCTCTCATGTGTAATGAAAATATTGCTCTTCAGGCGCTAAAATGCTATCTGCAAAATAGCCGTGGCTCAAAAGTAATAGCTAAAAGTCGGAGGACAAGCAACAAATAAAGATCGATATGAAAGGATGATAAAAACCCTATACTCGACTGAAAGAAGAGAATGACAGAAGTTTGAGAAAAATATTTTTATATAATGATGAAATATCGAATGAAAAGTCGCTTCCATTACCATAGACCTTTAAGTTATAGTTAAAGATACTATTTGAGGTAGATTTTGTAGATCCTGGTGTTAGTAACATTCTTCGATACAAAAGAAAATAACATTCTATTATTGCACATTTTCTATTAAATGATCAATTACATAAATTAGAAAAAATAATTAAACTTATTAAATATATATTTATATACCACGTCTAAATATCTAACATCTGTATAGAGTACACCTTTAAGTCGTCATATAAATCTAAATTTTGACTATCGGTACTTTTTGTTGTATTGCTTGTAAATTTTATTAAGGATGTCATAATTATCGCGCATGTATCTGTGTACATTAAGGATTATTTGTGTTCGTATGTATAGTATGTATAGTGTGTTATTGTTTGCTTACACAATTACAGCAATTTTGCGCTTCATATACGAGATTAAGACAAGAAGTTTTTTATTTTGGAAATATTCTTGTGTTTTACTTTACGGAAAAGTCAAAATTCTTTGTTTTCTCGCACAAAAGATAAATAAAAAGTTGCTTTGTTCAAATTGCCGGCCTACCTATGAAGAAGTGTTTTATTTTGTAAAGTTCCAAGATAGGCAATATTTTTCTGATGCTCACATTAATTGCCTGGTACGTGTCTTGTGAATGTCTGTTTATATGGAAAGGCACGAAAAAAGGAGTTTGGATTTGATGTGGTGTTGAGTCGTTATGTTGTGAAATCACGTAAAACAAAATTTATCTAAAGAAAGGGATTTTATTGTTAGATTCATACATTAAAAATAATTTAAAGTAATAAAATGTATATCTTTTTTTTTTGGTATTTTATATTATTTTTTTACTTGTTACAAAATACGTACATGTATTTATTTTTAACATTAACTTAGCTTTCAATTAATTATATTTTTTTTTAACATCAAAAATGTTTGTATAGAATAAAGCTTGCTGCAAAAAATTATTAAGAATTATTGTTTTATTTTAGTGCTCTTAACAAGCATATAGCATTTTTGTTGAATTTGTTTTTTCTTCGCGTTTTTAGTGCAGTTAGCTTATTGTTTTTTACTTATATATATATTATTTGTTCTCTTTTGATGCTACTGGTTATCCTATTTTAACAAATGAACTTCTTTTTTAATTCAATTGTTGAAGTCAATTAAGATGTAAGAAATTCATTTTATAAAGCATCTTTTTATAGCATTAAATTAGAACAACAAACTTTTGTTATTAATTTTTTCTTGCCGAGAGTCGTCTTATGATAAAATGCAATTCTCGAAACAGCATTGTTTGATTAGCCAAATTTCAATAAATTAACTAAATTGTTGTTGTTGTCTTTTAATTTCTATTCGAACTCTTGAGACTTTTATTTTTTAAATAATTGAATTTTTTTACCCGACTATTTAACTGTTTCAAATATCCCAAACACTCATCATCAGTTGTTTTTGAATATATTATTTGGTTCTATAAGTCCAACTTATAGAAATTTCAACCAATTTTTTATTTGTTAAAACTTCAAGGATATTGTTTTTATAGAAACATCATTTGTTGCACATTTTTACATAATTTTTTATTGTGTAATATAATTAATTGATAAATAATATTTTATGGTTGTAATATCTTCTTATTAATGGTTGCAGAAATTACAAAATTAAAAAACAGTTTTTTTTAGTGTCTAAATTTTTTTTTCGTTATGGATCAACACCTTTTACCATATTTCTAACATCTTTGTCAAGCAAAAAAATGATCTGAATCATATTTGACGTTCCTAATTGCTTTATAAAAAAATTTTAATAAGTTTTGACAAGTTGTGAACCGAAAGTGCCAGATCTGGGATCTGGAAAAATTACTAAGTGTAGTTAAACTGCAACTGTCCAAATTGTAACTCACTTTTTTTTGTTCCTAGTATATATAGCTGAATAAAATATATTATAAAATTGATCACAGTATTTGTAGAACCTCATTTGAATTCCCACCAAATATACTGTTTCACCTTCAATCTTTTCTTGACATTTAAGAAGTAAATAACGGACATCAAAATGATGTTTTCCTGAAAAAAAAATTGAAATCCATTATTGGATTTGGATTGAAATTACTTTCTGCACAACCAATTATTTTTCTTATAAATTGTGCAGAAATTACTTTCTGCACAACCAATTATTTTTCTTATTAATTAAGTTGAGCGCTGAAGCTTTGCGTGAAAAGAGTGAAAAGGTTTACTTCACAATTTTAAAAATTCAATTAAGCAAGCAATTCATAACCGATTTCTAATAATAACTTAATTACATTAGTAAATGATGTTTCTATTTAATTATATTGCAAAGCAATTTTAATGTATTTTATTCTCAGTACATCATTTTAATTTTTTTACATTATAATTTTAAACATTTTATTTTTTTACTTTAATTTAACATATAAAATGTATTATTGTTACTTAATTCTTCAGTATCAATACCTTATTTAAATTTTGACTATTAATTTATCATAAAAGCTAAAAATAATTCCCTAATCCGAGAAACGAAAACAATCGCATTAGATTTTTAATATTCACAGCATACCGGGTGTTGGAAAAACTTCCACCATAAAAAAAAAATTCCATCAATAGCACCCATCAGAACTATGTAATACAAATATCTGTATTTCGATAAATATATCCAAACTTGTATATTCGTGGATCAAGTAAAAGTTTCTTGCATTTATATTGAAAAATTGGAAAATACCCTATATATTTAATATATTTTAAATTATACAGAAGTTCAACAAAAAAATAATTCATTTATTTTTATTACAGACCCTGGTGCCATCAATACCACAAGATTTTAAAGTTGAACGTCTTCACATATCACGCAGTGGTATCAGCATGGCTTTAGCTGGACCCAAAGGTGTAGCTATTATGGAATTACCACTTCGCTATGGCAAATCTGGTCAATATATGAATGGCAAAGAGAAAATCACATGTGGGTAAGTCAAATAAATGCTAATTTTATTCTGAGTGTAATGACAATCTGTTATCCAAAATTAAAATCAAAACTCCATTAACATCAAAACTCTAAAAGTGAAAAAAAGCGAGGAATACTAATAAATATTGTCATTACTCAAGCTTAAAATTAAAATTACTTTTGAAAAAGAAAATCAACCGAAAAAGAATTATGATAAACTGCATAGCGCAACATTTTGGATGCAAAACTTTGTTGCGAAGTCTTAAAAGTTTCCATTTTTTCAAAAGCCATTATTATAATTTCCCGCTTATTTATTTGCCCGTTCACTTACTACCGAAACTGAGAAACTGAAGCCGAAACCGATGCTAGTTAAGGTGAATTTTTAGAGGTTAACTTTGGTGTAAAATGTGCTGCGTTTAGCACATCTGTTTTTTATTGCTTTTAATTTGCCATTAATAAAGCATTTTCCAAAGTGAAAGTCAGGCGTCATTACTCAGCTTCGCCTCAGAGTAATCAAAGTAATTGCAATTATATTGAGACGTTCCCATTCCAGTCCCCACTTCAAACACCAATTGCTAGTAAATTGTAGCATAATGTAGTAGTCTTTCTAGAAATGATAGCTATAACTCAATAATTTTGTCATTTTTATGGACTGCAATTATAATTACTCATTTTAATAACTTCTTATTCAGCAAATAAGTTGGTTTGGGATTTTTTTTCATAAACGCTAAAAATTATTAAAATAAAATTTTAAATTATAAAATAATTACACACAATTATTTATTAAACCAAGAAAAACGAATAATACAAAAAATATGAACTCCATTTTTTCTGTAAATTGGTAACACTGAATTGTGTTACCATTTAAAATTTTAGCGCTATATGTTGCCATCACCTACATCAACTTTTTTGCAATTATACTTTTGAGTGTTCTGCGATAGCACATACGAGTAATATTCAACTGAACTGCTATTACCACTTCGTGGAATTCATTTAAAACCATAAAACAAAAATCTCCATAAAACTTGCAGGTAAAACTTTCTATGAAATCTATGACTCTATGAAAAATGTGTGGAAGAAGGTTAGGTAAAGCGCTGGAATAGTAATATGTTAATAACCAATAGAGTCTACTTGAAGACAATAGATTAAATTTGATTGATTGATTTTTTTAATGATAGCTAGGTTTAATATGCGACAAAACTACTGCACCAGAACTATATGCAACATATATAGAGATATATATTTAAAAACGATATTCAACATTTAGATCAAAGATAATTTGAGCGTGATAACTATTAACATACTATGAGCGGGACAGGTATTTGTACCCGTTGCGAGGATTGTCACTTATAAGCGGGAAAGGTATTAGTACCCGTTTAAAATAAGTAATTTTAAGTGACACAAGGGAAAATAATGTTGTATCAAATATATGACTACATCTCACTTAAAATTACTTATTTTAAACGGGTACTAATACCTGCCCCGGTCATAGTGTGTTAAGAACGATATCATATTTTATTAAGGATACTTAGTTAATACCGCAAAATAAATATTTGAGAATTCAAAATATGCCCGCGGATTTAAAATAGAAAACGTAAACTAATTAAAACAGTCATTATATTTAATGTGTGCCAAATAGAATATGAAAAGAATGCACCATCGCTTCTGACAATCTCGAAATGATTTCAAAGATTTCATACTGAATATCTGTGGAGAACCAATCGCATGAAGGTATTCAAAATTTTCCATTAATTATTTAAGCATCGTTCTGGTGAAGTGAAAAATCATGGTCAGTCCAAGATTGATCCAGTAAATTGCTAAGGGCTATTTCAATGGGTTCCAAAAATATTTATCGAGACTTAAAATGTGATTTGTTTGCAAGCTTAAAAAGTGGAGGATACAAGCATTTTCAATACAATTTTAACAGGTTATAAAACTTGGTACTATGGAGTCCAGAAGGTGCTAATCCATCCATCCATTGAAGCCATATAACATAAGTCAGCAATAAAAGTAATGAAATTAGTTTATATCATCCAAAGAAAAGTTGCAGCTATTATTCCTTTAAAAACTAAATAGATGATAACTGCTAAATTATATATAAAACTGTGTTCACCACCAGTGAACAGTTTAAAAAAAACCGCCAGTGTTTTTTATCCTTAACATACGGTAAACCATATTTACATTATTAGCGAAAAAAATATTGACCCTGGGCTGGTTTTTTAGATAGCTTAATACCTTTTGCTTTTACCAATTATTGCTAAAAACAATTTTTACAATAATTTATTTTTTACTTGATTTTCTAAAGTGAAACTATTTTATAAATATTAAAGTATAAATAAAAATATCTAAAATTTTAAAATAGTAGTTTCAAAAATTTCGTTCAAGAATGACTAAATAGCGACAGCAAAAAAATTTTTTATTGTACATCTTACAATGCAGTCCTCGCTTTTTGAGAACAAAATTATGCATTTTGAATACCAAATTTTCTAGTCTTTCTCTGACAATAAGCGTACATCCTTTTTCATATCACAGGACGTTAAAGCGTCTTTTTTGAATTTTTGACAAAACTTTCTCAACATTTTTAGTTTCAAATAGTCTTGCAATTTCTCTTCCCTCGCCTCTGTACTTTTTGAGATGTTGCATTTATACTTTTCAGAATATAATGCGAATTTTCGATTGCTCATTTGTGAGGCTTTTATTTTTATTATAAATTACTTTATAAGGGCAGGAGGGAGACTGCCAGAGTTAGCCGTGGTAATAGTTGAAACAAAATCTTTTGATAAAACAAGCGCAATTGTGCATTTTATGCCGCTTCAAATACTGAACTTAAAGGATTATTTACACAAATTTCACCGAAAGAAATTCGCCACAATTGCAAACAACTCAGTTAAGTGTAACTACCGCGGCTAGCAGGATAACGAAGTCGGTAATGTCGTCAAGGACGGAAGGAGGTCTTGTCTACATGCAAGGAGCATAACTTTAACAAAGTTTTTTATTGTCATATTATATAGTATAAAGTTTCAAAATGTTTAAAAAAAAAGCACTGGCAGAAAAATTAATAGCTTTTTAATTTTTTTTTTAGTTTTTAGTTTAATTATTTATAGTTGTATCGAATAATCGTTTATTAAGCGTAAAAATTTTTCATTAATTTTTCATTAAAGTTTAGTATATTTTATTGCGGATAATTTTATAAGTCCAACCCCAAACATGGAAAGTATTAACATTCACTTTCTTGGGACCCGTTATGCCAACATTATAAGATTTTTTAACTTCTGTAATCATTCCTTTTAAAGTTTTCGATTCCAACTTTTTTTATGAACAAAGATGAAGAGTATCACAACAAATGTTTAATTTTTTCCTTTGTACAGTCTTCCTATATAAGCTTCTGAAGAAGTCTCTTCTTAGATCAGACAATCTAGTCACATAAATCAAATAATGAACTGTAATAACGAACTTATTCAGGTTGACACTACGCCTAAGAAGATTTTGACACTACCTGGGTGATTTTGTATGTTCCACTTTAGAAGGTATTTAGAGTTTGTCTTACTTTTCTTTTTAATCTATGTTTTATACATCTGATATTTATGTGTTGTTTGAACAAAAGTACTTTGTATGGTCAGTTCGTCAGCTTTATAATTTTTGCCGATATCAGTATAAAATCGCTGTTATTAATAATGAATCAATAGCAGCTACTTCGATGTTTAGATTATTCGATAGGTCAGAGAATAAACAGAGCGTTGTTGAAATAGTTAGCGTAATTGATGAACCTTGCTTACTATTACATATCTACACATCTCAAGGGAAGAATCAACGAACCCTTTTTGCTATCCGTCATGCAGATAGCATATCAGTCTACAGTAGTGAATACTAGGTCACCTAGGCTAAACTTTATCAAAAAATGCATGTAACGGTAATAAAAATGCTATGCTGGTCATCAGACATCACAGAACTGGATAAAATTAAAAATCTCAATCATGAAAAATACCTCGATCATTAGGTAAGCTACAAAAAAATCGATGAAAATTGTATGGTGATATAACGAGAAAAGACGGATAGCCATATTTGTGAATAGAGCCATGAGTATAAAGATACTTTAACAAACCTGGATAAGCAATATTTTTGCCGACAACAACAGAAAAGGAATAATACCTTGAAAATGGGACAATATAGGAGACATTATCCTAACCTTCCTTAGGAAATGACGACAACAAAATAGAAAGAAGTAACACCTAGAAAATGAGACAATATTGAAGAGATGTTTCTAACCCTGCTTAGTGGTCACCCCTTTATAAAAAGAAATTACTAGTATGACCCAATCCTTAAATTAGATAAAGGTTATTTACTTTACTTTAATCATCGACAGTTAATCTGCACAATGTTATTGTCTTAATTTTGTTTTTATACTGTGAATGACATGCTTTCTGTTTCACATATAAAAAAATATGGCCATCACTATATATCCTATTACACCTCACCACGTTAACCGCATTTTGAATGGTTTTCACTTTAGCTTAAAAAACATTTCAGAATTCGATTGTCTGAAGCTAATTACCAGACATATTGACAGGGTCTGAAGAAACACTTTCATATAAATATCTATTTCATAGTTTTAAACCAACTGTTTAAATATGATTAAACTTTTTTAAGAGCCATTTAACAGTACAGATCTTTAAGCTTGCTTAATAGGAATAAAAATTTTGTGAACTTTATTGACAGTTGTACTTGAGGGGATATTAATATTTGTTCTGATGTCATTGAATTACTGCAGATTTATTGTATGTTTGTATGTACTAATTTACATTTCAAAACCTGGTAGTTTTGAATATCCTTTCGGTTGTAAATTAATCATACATATTTCTTCTATAGAATCTTTTGAAATTTATATATCTATCTCTTTTTTTGTTTCTCTTTCTCTCTGTATCTTTTCACCTTTCTCTTTCCACTCTACATCGCTTTTCATTTCTGGTTCTGTATATTTATAAAAGTACTATATTTTTTTGTGATATTTTTTTTGTTATTTGG